CGTCGTGCAACGAAGCGGTCTGGCCAGTTCTTTCCGACGTGTCGCGCACCGCGTTTCCGAAGCAGAAGATTGGCGATATCACCAACGTCGACAATCCGGGGCGAAAACCCTCGCGAATCTAGGTCGAGTATATACTGGATAATCACCTCCTCTTCGATCTTCGTCAAATTCGAACGGCCGTTGCAGCTGTCGGACTTTGCAGCCCGGCCCTTCAATCTCGCAGCAATTGTCGACTTGGGGATGTTGTATATCTCTGCAGCGCGTCGGATACTCAACCTCGGTGTTGATCGAATCGCATTGATCGCGAGAAGAACTCGGTTTTCTGGGAAGCTCTCGGACATTGTTGTGGTAGAGAAAACGCGTCTTGAAGTTGGGTGATTATAGGGAAGGAAAAAGTGTCCCGGTCGATGGGGTGTCCCGCTCGATGGTGGACCACGTTATGCCAAGTTCCAAACCACCCCCCCTCCCCACCCAACCTCCTCCCTCGCGCCGGAAACGAGTTGTAGTCAGGAGGGGACGGGGTTGGGAGCACCTCCAGGTGTGTTCGAGGTTTGTTGACATAGGGAAAGTGTTTGGACAGCAAGACCGGGCCAAGCTGCACAACAAAGGACAGTACTGAGGTGGTCCCATCATGATGATATGGGCCCGAGAGGGAACATATACCCTTACTTTCTGAAAGTAAACACACCCTATGCGACAGATTTACCCAAACCAACGTGTTCCGCCACCGAGATTATCCGTATCTTGGAGGCTCTCATGATGGTGAAGTACCGCTATATGTGTTGAATCAGGTGCCGGGGCAATGAACCGCCGAGCCCCGATATCGCCATTGACCCCTCAACCCCGCCAGAAGCACCCCAGCAGCATCTCAAATCTCACTGTTGCGCAACCCACCCCCCAACCTCCCGAGCTGACCGAATCCCTCAAGATGGAACTCGACCCGAAGCTTGGTATGGACTCTTTCTTGTCGGCCCGCTTCAAATCTAACGTAACCTCGATTGCTAGCGCCGTACTCGACGGGCGACCCGGCATCGTTCGCCTACCTAACTGCCCGCGAGCGATGGCCCATCATCATCGTGCGTCACCAATACCACTCCCGATAGAGCAACCGTCGCTAAACCATTCCTCCTCAGACGCAAGCGATCGATGATGTCTACCGGACTGTTGGTGCCAGTGACGACGCCGACAAAGTCGCCGAGGGCAAGATAATTCTCGCCGAGCTCTCCCAGCTCAAGTACGAGGTGCAGCACGACCGGGCATTGACGTGCGTTCCCTCGGGTCTGCCCTCGAGGCATGGAGGGTGAACTCATACTGAAGGAAGTGATGCTGCAGGCCGATCCGCGACGATGGGTACCCCGACGTAGCCGGTTACAACAAGGAGCTGGAGCAGCTGGGTAACCTCACCTGGCTGAAATCACCCTGGCTCTTCACCGAGTGCTATCTCTTCCGGTACGTCATGCTTCTCCCTGCCCTCTGCCTAATTTTCACACTGACGTTTCCCTCCCGACTAGCCGCATGTCAACGTCTTTCACCCTCTCCAACCACTGGAAGTCCTACGACGTCTTTGCCCGCCAAAAGATCAAGACCTTCCGCTCCTCACGCCCGGCCGTGCTGGAGCTCACAACGCGATACAAAGACCTCGTCACCCAACTCCGTTCCTCCGCCTCCTCCCCGCACGACCCCGAGGCCGACAAGCTCCTCTTCACCGAGATGTGCGAGGTCTGCCTCTGGGGCAACGCAACCGACCTCTCGCTGCTCACCAGCCTGACATACGACGACATCCAGAAACTTCAGGGTTCCAAAGCCCGCCAGGCGGCCGAGCAAAACATCCTGGTCAACGACCTCCCGCAGCTCTACGCCCACTTGACGGCCGCCAAGAACGACCCCTCGAAAAAGAACAAGGACCGCCGCGTCGACATCGTCCTAGACAACGCCGGTTTCGAGCTCTTCGTCGACCTCGTCCTGGCGGGCTACCTCCTGTCCTCGGGCCTGGCGACGACGGTGGTGCTGCACCCCAAGTCGATCCCCTGGTTCGTTTCGGACGTGCTGCCGAGCGATTTCGCCGCGCTCCTTAACGCGCTGGCGAATCCGAGGCAGTTCTATGAGACGCCCACAGAGGAGGATGAGTTGCAGGGCAGGGTGCCGGAGAAGTTGACGGACAAGGAGGTGGAGGAGCTGGCGTTTTTGTTTGGCGAGTGGAGCCAGTTCCATGCTGAGGGCCAGTTGGTGCTGAGGCCGAACCGGTTCTGGACGGGGCCGGGGAGTTTCTGGAGGTTGCCAGCGGAGGAGAACGAGTTGGTGGAGGACTTGAGGGAAGGGGAGTTGGTTGTGTTCAAAGGGGATTTGAATTATCGCAAGTTGGTGGGGGATGTCGCCTGGGATCCGACGACGCCCTTCACCGAGGCTATTGGGCCGCTTGGGCCGGGCTCTGGGCTCAACATTCTGGCGCTGAGAACGTGCAAGGCCGATGTTGTCGTGGGGTTGAAGCCCGGGGAGGATGAGAGGTTGAGGCAGATGGAAGGCGGGGGCGGCGATTCAGGGGCACGCAAATGGGCTTGGAACGGCAAGTGGGCGGTCGTTTCGTTCTCTAAGGGGAGGTGAACGGGCATCGACAAAGTAGACGGGTTGGATCAAATGCATTTAGACAGATCTGGTTCCCACATGCCATGACAATTCATGGGCTTTGTTCAGCTTGAAGCACTACGGGCTGCGCCGCGGTGGTGTCAACGCTAGGCTTGCGTCCGAGACATGCACGTTGCAACTCTCTGCTGGCAGTGGGAAATGGCGTTGGCTATCAGATGCCTAAGGTGCAACCTGGCTATAGCCAGCTTGGATGCGGAAACGAGCAGGCACTCACAAGCCGGGAGCGAGCAACAACATTGTTGGGTTATCGAAGACCGCAACTTCCGCCTTCCTTGCTCTCCGTGGCCGTTCTTGCTCTTGCCATTTCAGGAGGCAGACCTCTGTGCACAGGGATGTAACTGCCGTTGGTGGGAAGGAACGTCTGCTTGCCAACTCCCAGAGAATGGAAAGCTCGAAATACTATAAACCACCCTCGTTTGCCGTCTTCGCCAACCTCCTTCCACCTTCAATCTCAAATCTCCAACCCTACGTCTGAAGTTCTTGTTCATGATCTCTGAGCCGACGTCCTTACTACCAAACGTCGTAGCTCACTTCCTCACATCGCATGCAAATTCATTTCTCCAAAACGCGGCATCCTAGGTTTTCATTGTTTTCATTGTTGATCTTGTATACTCGAGAAGCAGGTAATACGTACCTTATCTTACTAAGGTTTCAGTCACAGCCACACAAGATTGAGCGATGAACACGCCAGGTCTCACGGGGAAAAGCTCATCTCACCCCAGCTTCTGTCCCAGCTTGACAATCTTTGTATAGATATGGTATTTGAGAATCAACCGCGCATACCGTTTTCATGACTTGGTGCCTTTGGGAAAGTGTGCTGTGGTTGGTGGTGGATTCGTCGCTGACGACATCAACACGCCCGGCACTTGGCAATGCTCGTTGGAATGCGGTCTGGGACTCTAGACGGTGGCCATTTCATGAAAATCTGGTTTGGGCAACTGTCCGTCTAGTCGGCACCCGCGACTAACCGCTTCTTATCAGATTTCATAACAGATTCTCGTTCTACTACTGTGAACAGTGGCGGCATCAATCTACTGCGCGATCACGCCCGGCTTGAGTTCGGGCCCCAATACCCCGTCAATCATCAATGTCTCATCCTGAGCAGTTGGGATTTCACGGGTTGCGGCCCAACAATATCGTAGGCAGCGTCGAGTCAGCTGTAACAAAGCAGCCTTGAATAATAATAGCGCTTTACGGTTGCGCAAGTCCGGGGAGCCGATCGGAAAATCGCCCGGAGTCGCGACGGGCCCAAATCTCCGGCGCCAGGCAACCTGGGCTGAACCAAGGCGAACGACGCCATTACCACCAAAGGAGAGCAGCTTTCCGCAAGCCTATCCCTGCCTCGACGATCAGCTGGTGCTAATAACAGCAGCCCTATCCAGCCTCTTTCGGAACACAAAGGTGCTGCTAGGGCTCCATCTCCGGGTCACCGTGGGGGGCAACAGACGGCCATGTCTCAGCTTTGTGTCACTCCTGTCTCGAGCCCAAGACGGGTGCTAATTTCTGTTCCCAAGGTCTCACGTCCGACGGCAAGGGACGTGCACCGGGTGACCGCGAATTCCACGTGTCCGCCGCAATCAGGTCCAACAGTGGCTGTCAATAATGCGTCCTTCCTTGGCCGCGAGGCAGATGGGGCTTCCCCGAGCGCCTAATATTTCCTCATCCGGCGTCGATGACGAGTTCCTCGTCGTCGTCCCCGGCCACCGCATTCCAAACAGGTCGATGCCAAGGTTTCCGGGCTGCGAGCTGAGCCACTGTCAGGGGAATTTCATGATGCCTTGTCGATGCAGAGCAAGAGGGGGGAGGAGCTGTAGATGTGCTGCTGACAACCTGGAGTCAGACACGGTAACACGGTCTCTGTCGATGCCGAGGTCGATAGCCGAAATGGTTCGCTCATATCAACCAACAGCTTTGGTTCTGTCCGTCGTTGATCGACTTGTTATAAAGGGGGATGGTCGGTTGGTGCAAGATCTCTTGAGCAACGAGAACCTCGCGCTGTCCCCAGAAGCAAAGTCAGCGTGTGGTTAGAGTAACACCCCGTGCTTAGAAGTTAGGTCTCTCACTTGACCCTCTGTCGCTGTCATTCAAATGCCAGAACTCACAACGCATCTTAGGCCCTGCCTCCACAGCCAGACCGCATTGACAACATCCAATCCACGGAAGACCACTTTGAACCACAGCTCGCGTCAACTCGTCAAAGTATAATCAAGCCCCGTTCGACCAAGCTTCAGCCAATCCATTGGAAACAACGACAAGACCAAGTTACTTGCTTGGTCTCGTGAGTCGTTTGTTGCGGTCTGGGGCCACGACACTCGTCCATACCTCCGAGATACCGCACTTCACCACCCCATCCATCCGGAAGCCGAAGGCTTTAGGACACCTCTCACTCGATATTGCCCCGTTGACGGTCTGCTCAACGATTCACCAGCTCCCCTTAGTAAACATCGCCAGACATACCCGTGACGACCACAGCAAAGGAGACGACGAAAGAGGAGCAGGAAAATAACAGCGCATACCTGGTCTCGCGTTGCAAGCTGGGACCCAGAGCCAGGGGACTTACACGGGGGAGGAAAGCTGAAAAAAGGAGAAAGAACGGATTGAGCAGGAGAGAAGTAAAAAGCCAGATAAAATGTGTCGATGGAGCTACTCCCACCACCACCGTACGTACCGCCACCGGTGCCCTCTGCCTCACCATTCGCTAGCCTTTTTCCTTCGTGGCTGGCTCGCCCACTCAGGCAATGTCTTTGCCGCCGGGCCAGTTCTGGACACCTCATCCCAGGCGCTCAGCAAGCCTGTACCACGAGCAAAAGTACCACCTCGACTAACAACTTCCCCCACTCCAGACCTGCCCGGCTGCCCGCGGCCCATCGACATCATCGTCCACTACCAGTACGGCGACTGCGCCATTATCGACCCACACACGGGCGAGATCCTGCCGTGCGAGAACGCCCGCTTTGACGAGCTGATGAGCCAGATCGATTACAACGACCCGTGGTATGTGCCGTCACCTTGATCTCCCGCCCTTTTGCATCCCGTCCAGTCGTGATCGGAGGTGTCTGGGCAGCAAAGAAGCCTTTCCATCCGAGAGAGTACTTTTCATTTGATATCCCACGAAGGCAGAAGAGAAACGTGGCGTGGCGTAGCTACAAGAGGAAGCTGGGGCCATGAACCTAATCGACTCTGAGAGAGCAGAGAGACGGAAAGGAGGGGTTACGAAACAAAACAGAATGACTGGAGTGAGACCAGACGTGGCTGACCTCATCGGTCCAAACCCCCAACAGTGCGACCGGCGGCTGCCTGATGTCCCCCGATTGCGAGTCCGGCGCTTGCCGACTGGCCCTACTCGGCGGCCGCTGGGTGTGTTGCCGATGTGGCGGTCGAGACAACGACGGAACCTGGTGTAAGTACAAGCACCCCGCTGCCCTTCCTTTCTCTCTTTCTTTCTTTCTTTCTTCCCTTGTTTCTTTTCTTCCTTGTTGGATAAATTACTCAGCACTCTATCATGAGGAGAACAACGTTGATGACTGACACGAGGTGATGGTACTTGTACACATTAGGTCGTCACCGCTTGCGGATGAGCCCTGACACCTTCTGCTACCACAGTTGCTGTTACGGGTGCACGGCTAATTCAGGCCCTTCTTCGTCGTCATCGGGTGGCTCCGGTTCGTGTTCAAGCCGGAAAGGGCGAAGGAGAGAGAGCAACGAACCACAGCGGTGGTAGAGGTGATGGACGAGAAACTGGGCTTACATAGTCTGGATGCGAAGGGCTGGTTTGGGAAGGTGGCAGGGGTACGAAAAGGGTATGCCTAGTGTTGATCGGGGCGGTTCAGGCTTCTTTTCGGAGACTGTGATCCTGCTAGCGCCGGCTGCTTTTCAACCAGGGGCCAGGGGTCCGGCCGACACACATCGGACACCAACAATTTTCTGTCTGTCTTTTCTGTCCCTTCTCTGCTTCTTCCCTATGTACCCTAGGTACTTCGAATCTCTTGTTCTGCTCCCCCGGAACCAAGGTTTTTTTGCCGAAGGATCTTGTGTTCCAGGTCTGTTGAAGGCTGATCCCCAAGCCCTGATCGAAGGAGCGTTAGTGAGCGTGGGCGTTATGCCCCAATGTCTAGGATTCTGAGACAGAAGCGTCTAGAGTCAGATGTATGTACGGATTATATGCACTTGTCCCTACATCGACCCTCGATGCCCGAGCTTGCCTACATCTGCAGCGGCACGGCCCATCGCGGGGTGTGGATATGGTACGCAAGCTCGGCAAGTTGAACCATGGCTCGTTCGGGTCGGCGCTTGTCAGACCCAGCATTATTCCCTAGCAATTGTGGCTTCTAGGAAATCCGTTGAAGTTTCTCTCTCCGTATTCAGTTGTGAACGTAGAGCAACCTGCGAAGGTGAGGGTCCTTCAGTGGTGCTCAGAGGTGGTGTCTGACGACATGTCTGAAAGTCAAACATCTTATGGGACCCCTTGTCCTACGTCTCAGGAATCAACTTGGTAGCACAACCTAATGAAAATCTGAGACCGTTATTAGCCCAGTCTGTGAGGTCGCCATGGGCTTTCGTATGGATACTCACCACTGTATGCGGTGAAACCATATGCTCCGGCCCACACTCCTGGGGTCCTCGCGGCGGTGCCCTTGGGCTCCTGACGGAGCTGCTAGCTTGGTGCCGTCACTGCCGTGGAAGTGGTTGCCGGTCAGCTCAGAGCACAGGCCGTGGGGACAGTCCCGTGAGCACCTCCTCGGCCCGAAGGACCAGTTCGGCGAGGCCATCCAGCAAACAGCCCTACCTACCTGGAGACTGCTCCCGTCACGGCCCAGTGCATTCCGACGCCAACGTCTCCAAGCAGAGTATGAAATAATTTCCGCAAGAGGGTGGGGGTATGATGGTATCCCAGAATGGCGCCGAGGATCACACCAGTCAGCCCCGAGGCTAACGGAACGCTACCTAACAAATGGCGTTGATGAAATGCACGAAAGCCACCATGATAGGTAGGCACCATCTCTAGCGCGTGCGCCACTAAGTCCGCATGTCAGATCACACCACATCACGACCTCGTTGTCAGAACACTTCGGCAGGCAAACGACGATCGAATAGCAGACGCCGGACTTTGATGAGCGGCGGGCAGCCGGTTAGGAAACCGGCCGTCGAGGTAGCCGGACTGGGAACCGAACAACCGGCCACCAGGGAATCGAGACCATGACGCGGATTTTCATGACGAAACCCCCGGATGCTGGATGGGGGTGAATCTAACTGCCCTGGCCAATACAGGCCGTGAAGTCATGTCAATCACCGCTCATCCGGCAGCCATGTTCTTCGGAAGCGGGTGCGGAAGCCAAGCTGCCCTTGTCTATGCCAACCAACGCCAATGCCGGGCTTCTCGAGTGAGGACATGGGAGTCCTGTTCCCGTGGTCGTATACATGTGGCCACTCCCCAGTTTCATGGTGAACTCGGTTCTGGTACCTCAGGCACTTGAACCATGGGGCTTTCGTCAACGCCAACCTCATCAGCCCGTTCCGCCCGGAGACCGTTAGCTAACAAGTGCAGGAATAGCTTGACATGAGAGGTACAAGGACACATCTGCGTCACTCAAAACATGTCGGCGAAGGAGGTTCCAGTTGACTCAAGAGCAGCTGCTCAAGAGACGCTGCTGCGGCTGCGGCTGCGTCTGTGATGATGATGACGATGGTGTCGCGGGCCGGGAGAGGCGGATTTCTTCGTGGAACTGCGCTATGAGGCGGTCGGTTTCACGGAACCCTGTGTCAATGGCATGGTCGACTGCAGATGTTGTTGGGTTTGGGGCGGTGGACTGTGGATGAAAGACATGGTTTGGCGAGGCGGCTTGCGGACGGGGAATACTAGTTAGAGGTTGCTGATGCGGAAGTTGCGGTGTGGTTGGGGTGGGAGGTTGTAGCCGGCAGGATTTGGGCGCCGGTGACGGTGGAGGAGGGCTGTGGCGTGAGGTAGGGAATGTGCCTCTGGTTCGCCTCCGGTCTTGAAGCACCATTCCGGCGACTTCTGTCCTTGTTGATAATACAAGGGAGGCTAGCAACCCGAAGTACTCGTACCACCGCCCACCAGAGTGTTTCGCGAAACTGATGAGCGGTGTGGAGCGCACGAAACACGGGTACCACTGGCTGCAAAGACATGTGGAGAAGATCCGGCCCGATAAACGCCCCCGTGTCAACCAGAAACGGTGAGACGCCGTTACGCCGGGGCTGTCCCAGGACTCACTGAGGGCTGGCGATCGAGGATGTTCCAAGTTCCAACGTCTCCGACATGCATTCCACAGTGTATGTACAAGTACCTGCACTAGAGACCGCGGAGCCAACAAACTGGTTTGCCAGCGGTGCGGGAAGTGAACGACAGACAAGGGGAGGAAACGAAGCGGCAGAACCAGATTCCCGGGAGACCGGGAGGTGATGCCGTCGATCTTAATTACGGAATTCCTCTCGGTTCGCCGGTCTCCTCGATACCAGTGCCATGGTAAGCATAGCCCAGTTGATCGGCTCTGACCCCCCGCTAGATCTTGTGTTGCATAAGCGGTCAAAGATCCTGCCGGGGTCCGACCGAAACAGTTTGTGGCTGACGACGACATCGCACAATAGGGACGTGACGAGTTTGCTTGCCAGAAGGAGAGAACGAGGGTGTGCTACGGAGGATCCTGTTTCGATCGGCTGGCGAGTGTATCTCCCGAGATGGGACTGCAGTGTCGAAACGTGGAAGACGTATTTTGCTTTTTGGGAATTGGCGGAGGACGTAACGAGAAGAACTCAAATGGTGGAACTGGTTCACTGCAGGCCACGCCAGACCAACCGTGCAGAGCGATCCAATGGGGCGGGTGATCAGCCCAAAGCCTCGAATGTGGGAATCCCAATCGGGCCCGCAGCCAAGGATATCGGGACCCAGCGATCTGGCTGTCTCGGATTACCTCTTTGAGGCATCTGATTTGTCGAGAAGCAATTTGATCAGCCAAGATCCATCGGTTGGGTCACAAAAGCATCCCAGACAGGCAAGAGTACAAATTAAAGTGTGTGACGTGACCGGGGTCATCATTGTACATGCCAGATAGGTAACGATCGAGGGCAAAAGAATGGATTGTGATGCTTCGGAGACACAGTAACCGTCGTATCGCTGAGACGCACCCCCCCCCTCCCTTCAGCGCTGATGGCGTCGTTTCTCTGGGACCTGGCAGCCTATCAGCAATAATAGTCCGTCCCAGCATCCCAACATCCCAAGGGATGGTGAGTGCAGATCCCTCGGTCTCTGTGGAAGTGTGAACGGTACTCGCCATCTCCTTCAGTGGTTCGGTCTTAGCCACCCCTTGACCTCCATGTCGACCGTTCCAAGAGTGGCATCTGAAGGGCGGTGGCTCAACTAGTCCCAGCCTCGGTGACGGCAACCGGGAAATCCACGTTGGCGGTTGGCAAATGCAGCCGCATAAATACTCAATGCTGCTGATGTCTCTTGGTCCTCGGGCGGATGTACGAGCGATTATCTTGCTGTTCAGGTCAGTTCACTCCAGAAAGCGGACTCAAACTCTCATCCCCGCTCCCGACAACTCTTGGTCGACACCTCGCTACTGAACACTTGAGCCTCCGTCCGACTTCATTTACCAACCAACCATGTGTCACGGACATCCCCATTACCATTCCTGCGGCCACCAATCTGTGACATGGCACTACTGCCCCTCGGCGCTTATTGATTTGGAAACCGGTTATGAGACGCCATGCTCCAACATCACGTTTGCCGCCTCCCAGCCATCGACAGCAAGTTGTCCACTAGCAAACTGCGACTTTCGTAGTGCGAGCGGCGGCGGATGGACATGTTGCAAATGCGGGGGGCGTAACCGCAGCGGATGGTGCATGAACATGTCGCCCAATCCGAGATGGGACAAGAACCCCATCACGAACGAGTGGGAATGGATCGAGAGGTGCGACCATGGGTGTTGCCGCAGCTGCATCAAGGATCGTAAGTCTGACGGACCTGGGTGAACAAGATCCAGCCCATCCTTTCCTTGACGCTCTGCACCCAGAATTGAACTAAGTCCTGACATGTGTTCAGCTCAGGCTAGCACTGGTGAGTCCAGCCGCAAAGACGGAAGAAAGGGGAAAGATTCGCGGAAAAGCCGCCAAAACGCCCCGGCCATCGACCCCGGGGCTTCATACAATATCATGCTGGACTACAGCAAAGATGGAAGAGCTCCTTCAAGAAAGAAGAAGGACTCTAAGTCGTCATCCCACAGGGAGAAGTAGGAGACATTCTGTCAGTGCAGAGTCAAGGAGGATGGTATGGTGCAGTGGGCGGGGACGCGCTCGGCTTGATTACAGGAAAATGACGGCGGTGCGCTCTTGGCTTCCGAGACGGAAGAGGTAGGGAAGAGTTGAAAATTGCGGCACCTGTGCTTTTCTGTTTCAGGCTTTCGGAGCATACATGCGGCGATCGGAGACTGGAAAGACTCGCAACGGCTGGCGGCGAACTTGAAGCGAAGTTGAGGTGGTCGGTTTACCTTGATCGGGCGTAAGCATCGTATGTACCGCCTCAAAGCTGCGGTGAGGACCGTGTGATCCCTACGCGTCATAACGGGATGCAAGTAACGATGATGATGTGCTGTGGCAGTTCTCAAATCAACGACACCCCACGCGGTGCCAGGTGAGTGACTTGAGGCAGCATTGAAATTCACCTGAGCTCAAGGATTTCAAATGTGCATTCCAGTTCTGTGTTCAGACAACTGGCATTGAGAAACCGGAAGGCACGTGTGGCCACGGCTTCAAATTCGAGAATAGAAGCATCACACAGACATCGGCTGTCATTTCCCGCCACAAAAACATTCAAATTACTTATGGTAACTTAACTTGAATCGAGGTAAATTGCGTAAGCAGTGTCTGCTAAAAGAGAGCTGTTATGAGAAGGGACAGAATTGTGGAGAACATATCCGACTTCAGATAAACCGAAACTTCAGGTATGGCAAGCAACAGATCCTATGGCTTCTGAGGCAAGCGATGCTTCGCACTGGAGGCCATTTGAATTGTAAGACAGTAGTCATGGGACCTGCTTGGGATGTAGAACTACCTAATACGTTGTCGTCGTCACCAGTTCTGTCTTTTGCGTAATGGCCATAGAAGCCGTTCATTCTAGGAGCGTCTTTCAGCTGACGCAGTGTCATAAATCAATTCGCTTCTAAAATCCATACAGTGGGTTGGTATTGGACAATTAGCTCAGGTATAAAAAGAAGCATATTTTGATTGTGAAATTCATGAGGACGCATGCCGAAAGCCCTCCGGAAGGTAATGTTAGTTAAGCTTAGGAGGTTTAGAGTCAAGACACACATGCCTTAACCTTACGCGTGGACGCATTTTAGACTCGGATATGACACCATAAAGTACGCAAGAGGCTTCACTGGAGGCGGACGAACTCAAGCTGGAAGCTTCATCGCATACAAATGGCTGAGACGATGAATCGCTCAATCGCTCCATGACTCCGGTAATTCAAGGTTGTATCCAGCGTTTCCCGGGTTCTTTGCAGTCAAGACGAGTCCTCTGGATTGCCCCGGGTCGGTCTTCCCCAGTAGCAATGCAAATTGGCCATGTGCGGTTAGGTACACACCTTGCTGCAAGCCTGGTCCCGATAAAGTTCAGGGCGGCAAGGCAAATGCAATCTCAGTGCTGGTTCAGTCGATGTATTTTGACGGACCAATTTATTAAACGGGTAGTCGAGAGAATGCTTTCTACACACATTGTTTTCAGCTGCCTTAATAGCCTACATAAAGCGGGACTTGAGACCATGTTGCCTTAAAGGTGCTTCCCAAACTCGGGCTTAAGGCTCATCCAGCATAACCTGCCAGCCGGCCGGGAAGACTGCCCGCTCGTAGGACCCTGACCTCGGGAGATCTCGAGGGTAAGGAAAGGTACAGATTGTAGTGCCGGTACTGTCGTGTGAACAACACCTATGAGTTGTTCGTTATCTGATGCTCTGATTTCTCTTCGCGGTGAGAGTTGTTCGAGTTTGTTGGGGTCCATGTTCTGGCCTTCGGTCCTGGCAAAGCATGACATGGAGATCTGCAGACGAGCCCCTGAGACCCACTTTTGAGTTCCTGAACGCAAACGTTTCATTGGGCGCTTTCCTCGGGCTTGCCGTGACCACTTGCGACCATTCCACATGGCGTCGGTGCAGCGGTGGGAGTCCACCCTGCGTTTGTCGGTGTCGCCACCTCGCATACTTTGTTCAATCCATCTCAACCTGCACAGTGACAAAGCACGGTCATTGCCAGAATAGCGGCGCCTAGCAATCTCGGGTTTCCCGTTCGATCACCGACGTTGATGACCGACGTGGGTCACAACCCGGAACCACGCGACCGCACCTTACGACCCCGGACGAGGTTGCTCTCAACCTTTTTGCCCTGTTGCCCAGCGTTTCAAGTTGCGACAGCGTCATCAGCCACCATCCCACGGTAAACAAAGCCAGGCAACAAAAGCAAGAAAGACGCTTGTGCCACCTTCGAAATGCCTACCTCTCTGGACTCATCTCGCCCCATCATGGCACCCTCTGTACGTCTTTACGTCACCACAGCCCGGCCCCAAATCATTCAAAACCCCATCCCAGCCCATCACCCAGCCGCAAATCCCCAGACTTGACGCAATCCAACTGACCACCGCGTCGTCTTCCCGCAATCCACAGAACCGTGCCTCGGTCCGCTACTCGACATACAGCATGAACGCGCCCTCCATCACGCCGACGGTGCAGTCCACGGACAGCGTTAATCCCGAGATCCGCCCCATCGTCGACGGGCTCGAACGGCTCAAGAACCCGCAATTGGCCGACCAGCGGGTGTACCTCAACGAGGAGAAGGCGGCCAACTTTGCGCGGCTGGCGCTGAGCGCCAAGCTGGAGCGGGCGCTCGGCCGGCGCATGACGGGCCAGGACGCCGTCATGCGGCCGCGCAAGCCGTCAGTCGTCGAGGTCACGTCGGAGAAGGCCAAGGTCTGAACTTGGGTCTATCAAAGTGATGGCGGGTTGAGAATCACCGAAAGAGACTGTTTCCACAATAACCAAGGATAAAGGTCTTGTGACCCGCTGGGTGGCGGGATACCTCGACAACGGGATTGCGACAAGTGATAAAGTTGTTGTTCGCCGGTTGGGGCTGTGGCCTACGCCTGACCGGCTGTATGTGAGCAGTTCGCTGAGACAGAGGGAAGGAGGACGATTCATCACATGTTCGGGATTTCGCTTTGTATTCCTGTTCGTTTTATTGGCATCATCGTCTCGGCATTGTCACGGCGATTTGAGACTCGGCATGGGGCATCTGGCGGAAGATTGATATGGGCAGGGAGGCATGAGTGTACGAGGGAAGATCTTTGGGGTGGATGGGACGGCCTACTGGGACCTGGTTCTTTGGTTGTTTTATGAGAGCGGTTTCAAGCTGAAATGGCACGCTTGCACATACTGCTCCAAGCTACAAGCCCACCGTCCGTGTGCGTAGACAAACAGCCGTATATTCCCAACTGTAAAGATCCGTAACGCCTAGCCTGAATATAAAACGGCCAATGATAAATGAAAATTCACGGTTCCCTCTTCACATCAGCTCTCGTCTGTGGCCGCTACCTCCCGATAATATTCCAGCCTCCTGTCAGCCCAAGCACGCTTCACGCATCCCTCCTCCCCTTCTCCTCTTCCAGCTTCCCGTCAATCTCCTTCAACAGCTCAATCAGCTCCTTCTCCTCCCCCTCAAACTCCAACCCGCGCGCAACCCACTCCCTAGCCTCCGCCAACCTCCCCATCTCGACCAGACACCTGCCCCTCCTGAACCAGGCCTTGGCGTTCCCCTGCCTCTTGGCCTCGACGCTGGCCTCGGCGTCGACCGCCGCCTCGGGCCAGTTGCTGAGCTGCATGTGCGCCTGCGCGCGGTTGCTGTACAGCGCGTGGACCTCCTCGCGCACCAGCTGGCTCGGCTCCCAGGCCGGGCGCGTCAGCGCCATCTGCAGGCCGAGCGAATAGAACTTTATAGCTTCCGCGTAGCGCTGCTTGCGGTACTCTGCGTTGCCGCTCTCGCGGAGCTTGTTGAGGTTGGCGCTGCGCTTCGGGTTGACAGGCACGGGGGGCGGCGGCACGAGGTGCGGGGCCTCGAGGGTGTGCAGGGAGCGGTGCAGGGCATTGAGGGCGGCCAGTTCATTCTCGAGGGCTCTGGAGGTCGGGATATTGGGGGCGGCGCTGATGGCTTTGGATTTGGAGTCGATTTGAAGGGGGATGAAATCGAAGGCTTCGAGGTCTGACATCGCGGCGGTGGATTGTGGGCGAGTTGTGGGACTTGGTAGTTGGGTTGGAGAATGGACAACAGGCCGCTGGGGCAAGAAGAATGTCGAGGATGGGATTAGTGCCGCAATGTAGCAGTGAAAGTAGGAACTTATCGCCCGCTCTTCATGTGCATGGATGTATTGGTAATTGAACGTGGAACTGGGAGCCTATGCTGCTCTCTGTGTTGTTGGGTCTGAAGCAGTGGATAACGTTATAGCGCTGGTTCAAATTGCCAGAAAAGGACAGCTGTGTGTTGACAAGGCGATCGACTCTAAGTTTCCTATCTTATCGAAGATTACTAAGCAGCCTGAAATGAGGCGAACGGCTCGGAACCAGCCTAGGGCTGAACTGCCAATGCTTCATGACTGGTCGCATGAAGTCAGGTAGAGCTGGGAAGATTCGCACCCGAAAGAAAGACCAGCGTCGAAGGTAGAAGGCGGTATTTGTCTGCTCAATCCAACAGAAAATCGGCTTTTTCGGAAGTTGAGCCGCCCTGCCAAGGGATCGCGAGATGGCGGCGGCGGCGCAACCCGAGGCAGTGATCGAGGTGGCCGACCGCCCACCCTCACCGAAACGACCGAGCCGCGCCCCGAAACCGAGTGC